GGGGAGATGGCTGTGATTGTGCTCAGGGCAGGGAGATGGCCACGGTCGTGCTCATGCAGGGAAGGCAGGCACTATTGCGGTCATGCTGGTGGGGGGGAGATGGCCACAACTGAGCTCGCAGGGGAGATAGCCGCTATCGCACCCGTCTTCCCTGCCCGAGTGTGACCGTCATGTTGGGAGAAGGAAGATGGCCGCGATCATGCTCGGGGGATGGAGAGATGGCCGCAATCTTTCTTGTTTTTTGTTACTTTGCTGTTGTCACTGTTTCAAATTTTTGAGATTAAAAAAAATGGTTACAGAACGGATTAATCTTATTTACATTGAACCTTATGGGGAAATTTGACTTGGCTCAGAGCCAGAGTCATGGAACGGATTAAGTTCATGAACCAAGGTACCACTGTATCAGGATCAGACATCAGGAAAAGCTTCCTCACTGTCAGAGCAATATGACAGTGGAACCAGCTGCTAGAGAGGTGGTGGTCTCTCTCACATTAGAGACATTCAAAAAGAAACTGGACAGTCATCTGAGTGGGATGGTGTAACATGGTGTCTTGCAACAGCCAGGGGTTGGACTTGATGGCCTTCATGGCCCCTTTCAACTCTATTATTCTATGAGGTATCTCAGCTGCTTTTGATCTCATTTGTCCAAACTCTGACAACCCATCAACTACTCACAATCATAGCTGTCTCTGCCAAGCCAGCTAAACAGAGAGTGATGTGTGTTGTAGTCTGTTATGTACAGGAAGCATGATTTTAGAATGAAATGGGAAGGGTTTTTTTGGAGTAATCTTGGCGGGAAGGAAACCAGTAGAATCTGAGCACACCAGTAAAGGGAGGGATCTTGTTTCTTTTGATGGATTTTGTTTTATTTCTATTTTGCTTGATTTATAAAACTGCATCTAATTGTCCCAAACAGGATTCTTTGGGTGGTATACATCCAAGAACAGTATCATATAAATTTTACAATAAATAATAATTAAAAGTTATTTTAAAACCATTAAAACCATAAATATTAACAGGACTGCCACATAGTATTTTAGCAAAAAAGTGTTCTTCAGTCAGGATTGTGACTATATTAACAAACTAATATGTCCATCAAACAATAGTTCAATCAACTAACATTTAAAATTAATTCAATACTATTTAATTCGCTATTAAAATACATGGAGAACAAAGCTGTTTTTGCCAGGCACCAAAATGATTGTAAAGAAGGTGCCAGGTGAGCTTCTCTGGGGAGCCGGTTCCAAAGGTAGGGTGCAACCACCAAGAAGGCCCTTTTTCTATTTGCCATCCCCTTTACCTCCTTTGGGAATGGCACTTCAAGAAGGGCCTCTGTACTAGTTCTTAACAGTTGGGTAGGTAACATGTGAGAGAAGGCAGTCCGTCAGGTACTCTGGGCCTAAGCCATTTAGGGCTTTATACAGTTATACAAGTCCTTTATATGTTTTGTTTCCCCTCTCCATATTTTCATAATTGATTGACTTGAGAGGTTCCAGAACTGAAACCTACAGAGAAGTTCTAGTTTCTGACTTTGGAGTCCTTCCTCCAAAGTTGGCTGCTGGTGGAGATTGCTCACTGGTGAGAATTAAAAGCACATTGTATGGCATTCATAGGCAATCTTCTTAGTCTTACTACATGTCTTCCAAGACTGAGTCTTCTCACTGAATGAGGTTCTGGAAAAGTGCCCTGAAAAACTCTGAATCAAATTAAATCCTGTGGCTGGGCATGGTAGCAGAACTGAGAAAGCCAAGCTAGAGGTGGAGGAAAAAATCAAGACAGAACGAATTTAATAATGAAGGGAATAAGAGGTGATAGTGGCCATACTATAAACAGCAGCATATATGAGGAGGAGGAACCTGCTTCTTGCCCTCTTCATCTGCTTTTAAGATGCCACAGGCTACCCCTAGTTAAGCAGTAGCTGAGAATAAACATGGCCCAACCATATCTTCTAGCTTTAATTAGCCTCTTTTGCCCTCTGTGATGAATCATTAGTTTCCAGTTTCTGAATCTATCACACTTTCACCATTAAGAATGGTCTATAGCTTTGTTTTTACCTCTTTTGACACAAGTTCCTCCAGTAGATCAAATTTGCATTGAGAAATTAGTCTTGAAACAAGAGCGAAGGCCTAGAAAACAAGACAAAGAAGATTGTTTACTTGAAATTAACTGCTTCTGAATTCGAATAGGACAATACTGCAGCCTAATTCACAATATTATATTAACCATCACTGGTTTGTTTGTTTGTTTGGTTCTTCTGCTCTTTCAATGAGTGTTTATGTTGCAGCATGTTTCTTGAACAAAGCAGCTTTAGTCATTCTGGTGTGGTGGTTAGAGTGTTGGACCTGGGAGATCCAAGTTCTAGTCCCCACCTGACAATGAAGCTCATTGAGTGACTTTGGGTGAGTTGTTCACTCTCAGGCTAACCTACCTCACAGGGTTGTTGGGAAGATAAGATGGAGCTACATAAGCTGCCTTGGGTTCCGTACAAAAGGAAAAAAAGATGGAATATTAATGCAATATTATAACAAGAACAGTTGCAAATGCAGAACCAGGGAGTGGAGGCTGTTGCAAGGTAAGTAGGCTGGAATGCAGTGTGACGCTCTCTTGTTTGTGCAGGCTGGAAAAGGAAGGCAGTGCACTCTCAGATAGCTTAAAGTACAATGCTTAGGCTCATGAACGCCTAAGTTCACAACTGAATCGGGTCGTGAACAGAAATTTCAGAAAAAAAATTTCTCAGGTCACAAACTCCGCATCAGGTGACGATCGTGCTCAGGGGGGAGATGGCTGTGATCACACTCGTGCAGTGAAGACGGGAGTGATTGCAGTTGTGCTTGGGGGGGGGGGGGTGAAGGAAGAGATGGCCGAAATCTTTGTTGCTCTTTGTCACTTTGTTTCAAATTTTTGTGATTTAAAAAAAAGGTTACAGAACAGTTAACATTATTTGCATTGAACCTTATGGGGAAATTTGACTTGGCTCACGACCAATTTGGGTTGCGACCAGAGTCCTGGAATGGATTAAGTTCGTGAGCCAAGGTACCACTGTACAGGAAAAAAAGCTTATATTTCCTATACTGCAACTAAGGGAACAGTGGAAAATGAACAAGAAATGTATTGCAGAAAACTAGAAGATCAGAGTTAAGGTTGTTGCTTTTTTCTTTAGCTAGGCTCCCATGGTTTAAGTGCTGCCACAAAGTCAAAAATGCAACAGATGCAGCACCCTGTTTGCTATAACTCCAAGGGTAAGGAAGCAAACAAAGAGAACCAGAGTCCTGCTGCAGCAAGTAAAGAACCCATCTTATCCAACATCCTGTGTCCAACAGCAGCCAAACCTACCATCATTTGTTCCTGGCAAGTAGAACTCTGAAACTGGAGGTACCATTGAAGCAACACTGACATTGCACTGATGCAGCTGTTGCTAAGGGCAGAAGCCCTGCTCTCAGGATTGAGAGATGAAAATTTATGGGTATGAATTAGGGTCATGTTGGCAGGAAAGCGGAAACACACCACCCAAACACTGGGGAGAAGAGACCGCCTATTTGCATAATATTTGCACATGCAAAGCCATGTCTTCTATGCAATTTTAGAAATAACAACTATAATTTAACGAGAAATGCATAAGCAACCTATGTGCTTGCTCAGGAATTAACTGATGATGGTCTACTGAAGGCTCCCAGTTGGTGCTACAGTTCTTTCGTACTTTCACCCAGACGTTGACCGGCCACCTCCACACAGAGGCCTACCCTACCTAAACCAGGCACCTGGTACCCAAGTAGAAGCGTACGGAAGCCCATGAGGGAGCCCCTCACCTGCTTGGCCCCCTGCGTGAACTCGTGGATGCTAAACTCCTGGTCGAAATAGGCGCGGATGAGGAAGAAGTAGAGGCGCGAGCGGAGCCACGCGAGCGGCTTGGGGACCTCCAGGACCACCACGCTCCGCTTCCACTGCCCGCCTCGCTCGCGGTCGCTGCTGTAGGGGCGCGCGGGGGTCCGCCACAGCCCGGCCAGCGGCGAGGGCGAGGCAGCCGTGCGCGGAGCGGGGGGCCCGGCCCCGCCGGCCTTGTCGCGAGGCGCGCTCGCTAGCAGCAAGAGGGAGTGGCGAGGGTGGCCGGCGAGGGGCCGCAGCTGCCAGCAGCACCGGCGGCAACAGGCCCCCGCGGCCAGCGCCATCAGACCCCGCCGCAGCCCTCCCGACATCCCGCGGCGGTCCTGCAGCCAAAGGGGGCCGGGCGCAAACCGAGAGCCGTGCGAAGGGTTCCGCAGCACTAAATGGGAGGGTGGGCGAGGGGGGCCTCTCGCTTCACGGTTAAAACTGAGGAGCCGCCTGAGGGACCCGTGGCACGTCTTGGGCTGGGCAAAGGCAGGAAACAACAAGCTGGGAAGAGAAAAACACTCTCCGCATTTTCTCGTAAAGACAAAGACTCGGGGCTCTGCTTACCTATCCTATGCCTGGCCATCCAAACGCAGTACACTGCCACTCTCCTAATCCCACAGCCAGTGCAGTGATGCTCCGGAGAAGCTCGTGGATCAGCACGGGGGAGCACTGCCTCTGCCCTTCTCCCGAGCTCGTCGGCTTTATGGGCATGCCAGGCATGTTTCTGTGTCGCTCCGGTGCTCTGCATCCCATCCATTTGTCTCTTTGGGTATACAGAAGTGCTGCCATCCCCTCTGCGACGGGGAGAATAAGGAGAAGGCCCTTTCCTTAAAGAGTCGTTGTTCCCGGGAGGAAGAAATGAGAGAAGGACATACGGGAGGAAGTGATAGAGAAGGAGGCCGGCTTAGAGGTAAGCGATGGAGGAGCAGCAAGTCGTCCCCGTGGCTCAGTACACGGGCGTCACACGGGAGCGCTTCTTGCAGGATATCTACCCTCTGGTAGGTAACGCCTGGATAGCCAAGGGGACCATTAATCGCGCAGTCGTTTCCCAGGGTCACCCTTTCTTGCAGATCATCGACAGCACCATAGAGTTGCCTTTCCCAGCCTGCAGTCGGTTTAGACTTTAACTTTCATCAGCTCCAGCCAGGATGGCTCCAGTTGGGGAAATAAAGTTTTTGTGTCCGTCCCCCCCGTCCCTGTCCCTGTCCCACCCCATTTCTGAGATTTCACACGACTCTCTGCACAAGGAACTGCCTAGTACTTGTCTGGACTCTAGTTTCATGCAAAGATCATTTCCTGCTTTTAGTGAGCCACTGTGTGCTTGCTTTTAAATCCAGCGAAGAGTAAAATTTTATGCATGTCAGCTCCAAAGTTAATCCCTTGGGTGGTTTTGTGCAATCACAGAAGGTGAATGACCCATGGGTATCACACACGTTGGTCACAAGCTTAATTAGCATAATTACCCACCAGGTGTATTAAACACTGATTTTTTTTTCATGTGACATCTAGCATGTTTGACAGAACTGACATCTTTTTAACATGACATACAAGAAGCAGAGGCATGAACTGGCAGGGGCATGAACTATTAATCTGGCATCTGCAGGTGTTGCAGCCAAATGTGGTTTCCTTTTAAGCCAAGAAGTTTGTTAACAATGCTATGTGTGCTGGCTCATTTCCCTATTTCTCTTCAAGAGGTGCAGCTTCTAGTGTCCTCTGAATCTGGCAAGGTTGGTGTGTTGGGTTGGTGTTTTGCCAAGGGCAAAAGGCTCTTTTTGGATCCAGAAGCAATGTGCACACAGGTGGATTAAAGTCTAAAGATTTTATTCTAAAACAGGCACTACAATGTAAACAGACATAATAATATGGAAAAGGAAATACAATACCAAGTAAGCTGGCTTTTCTTTATCAGCCGTCAGGAAACCCCCTCGTGAACGACACGGAAAAAGCCCTAATTCTTGGCTGGCATGTGTCACCTTCCTTGCTTGGCTAGATCTCCCTGGAACTCACTCGGGACAGGGTCATGAGGTTTCTCTCTCTACTCTAAGAGTCTTACTTGCTGTAGTTAAATTAAAACAGTTAATTTAGGCACACCTGCTGTTCCTGGCTCTCATGGTGATAAGCTCCATTGTTTACTTTTCTGCATCCCAATGCTGTACCATCCTAATTAGCAAGTGGCTTGCTGGATGGCCTCAACAGAGTCTCCAAAGGTGAGGCCCAGTTAAGGTAGCAATCAAAGGAGAATTGTGCTACAGCACCTATCGATATGCAATAGTCTTCTGGAAATTTTCCTCTACAGTTGGTTAACGAAGCACCCAAAAACAAGCCATAGTTTCTGGTTGGTTTGTTAACCACCCCACCAAACCACCATTGCCAAGTTTGGATGACATGAGAAGCAGCATCTAGTGAGGATAGTTAAGGAAATGGCTTGTGCACCCAGGGGGGGTTAACAAGCCATTATGGGTTATTAACCACCATTGTGTTGTGCAAACCAGGCCATAAAGTCCCATCATAAACTCAAGGTACAACCAGGATAATTATACCAATCAGTGAAATAATTCTCCATTTTCTAATACCCTGGTATAATTAACCTAGATACCGATAACTCAGCTTTTCTTCCATATATTTTGGTTCACAGCTTGCATCAAAACCAACCAGCATGGTGCATCAACATGGATGATGGTAGATGTCATACAAAATATCTGAAAGACATTAACTGAGGAAGGATGTTGTAACTGAACAAATGCACAATCCTGTTTAACCCATGCCTTCACTTTCCCTTCCCTTGATTTCCATGATAAATATTGGATTGTAAGCACCTGGGACAGGGACTTGTACCCTTAGAAAGCATTGTGCACATTGGTGAGGCTATATAAATAAATAGAACTGCATAACATTGAGATGAGTTATTTTAAAAAATCAGTTCTGCTGATTTTTAACCAAACATTAGCATAGCATTGCTAGCACAGAGATAATAATGATGTACATCACAGGGCTGCTTTGGCAGGTTGACCCATATTACTATGTACATAATCGTCATATCCACAGTTATATAGAAATATCACCAAGTGGAAGCTCCATTGAATGAGGATGCACATTTTAAAGCATATATGTGCATTTCCCTTGGTAACTGATGCTACATCAACTTGTTTGTCAGTGTGTATTAACTTGATATTATGTGTATGGCAGGTAGTAGTAGAAGGTAATGAAACATGTTGGGCAATCATGACAATTTTTCTTACATTTTCAGAGGAGGCCAGTCGTGCTGAAAGGACTAGATGTGGGCCCTTGTGTGAGCAAATGGACAGTGGATCACCTCAGTCAAGCAGCAGGAGATAAAGAAGTGAAAGTTCATGTTTCCACTGTAGCACAAATGGACTTCCTCAGTAAGAATTTTGTATATAGGTATTCCATTCCCATTTTAATTTGTTATAGGAAAACAATGCTGACTTTTAGAGGCTTTATACTTCTGCACTATAACTAAAATGAATGTGTCTATATTGGAAATGGTGCCCCAAATAGCTGGTTGCTTGCTATCTTGCTCAGATTTGGAGTTCTGTGTTTTTGAATCAACCAGTGTGGAGGCAATGTGATGTGCATGATACAGGATTCCAAACAGACAAGCAAAATGACCCCCCATAGCACATCCAGTTCATACTTTTTAATATAATTTTAAAACTTTAAGAATAATTTTAAAAAGCATAGGTTACAATTAATATATATATATATATATATATATATATATATATATATATAATTCATGCATAAACACACATTAAAGAGTGCAGTGTTTCAATATAAAATACCAGTTTGCAAATAGGCATATGTTGCAGTTATACTTAAAAACTGGAGCAGGACCAATTTACAATTTTATTAAAAATGAAAATTTAAAATGTATATAAATTTACAAACTGGACACAGAATGTGGGGTCATGTTGCTTTTACATTTTCTTCCTTTCAGAGACAGTTGAGAAACCATTTTGTACACTGGGATTGCTACTCTTTGAGCTTCTCCTCTGCAGTTTAGAAGAGGCCGGCATGCCTTTTGTGACCCACCATGCCAATATGTGCCTGACAGCCCTCAAGGGGCTTCATAAAGGTCCTGCTTTTGCAGCCTGCCTGTGACTACAAAAACCAGGGAAAGGTTCAACACCTCACAGGCTGCCACACATGGCTGATACGTGCATTTGGCTAGATATGGCTTAAGGTCTGCAGACCAATCTTCACATGATGCAGGGCAGGGGTGGGCAACTTGTGGCTCTCTAGATGTTGTTGAACTGCAGTCCCTGTCCTCTCTTGCCATTGGCTTTGCTCATGAGAATTTCAGGCCAGCAACATCTGGAGGACCACAAATTGGCCAGCCCTGATAGAGGGCAGGCTCTTTGGCACCTCTGTGTGGATCTGTCACTGTCTGTAATGCATGCATTTCACAGAGTGGAAAAAAGTGCAGAAAGGGGCAACTAACATGATGAGAAGGCCTGGAGCAACTGCCCTAAGAGGAAAGATGACAAAATCTGGGATTGTTTAGCTTAGTAAAGTGGTAAGGGAAGATGTGTTACAGATGTGCAGGGTTAAGCATTGTGTACCAAAAGTGGATATGGAGACATTTTAATCCCTCTCTGGTAATACTAGAAACCAAGGTCAGCCCATGCAGCTGATTGGCAGAAGCTTCAAGACAGACTAAAGAGTACTTCACACAGTGCATAACTGATCTATGGAATGTACCACAACAAAATGTAGTGATGATCAGCAAGAAAGGGACCATCATGACAGATAAGACTGTCAGTGCTTGGACTATCAGTGCTTTGAATGGCTACATACCTCCTGTATCAGAAGGTCTTCGTTCAGCATAGCTTTCAGTAAGGCTGTGTCTTGTGATATTATATTAAGTTACTTGTGAGAATATTGTTCTAGTGCTAAAATGTGAATGGACTTCCTTTCTTGGACTATGTGAAAATCCCCGCAAAATCATCCTTATCTAACTTTTGGAAGTGATCATTGTTTGCCAGTGAAACAGCTATAGGAAAACAGATTTAAATGCTGTAATAATAAGATTCTGCTGGGTGGGATGCGGGGGAGATAATCTGGGCTGAATTTAAATTTCTGCATGGAAATTTAGGCAAAATTGGCCCTTAGTTTTTGTGATGACATTTGAGAAGAGCTGCCGCCATCTAAAACCATGAAAATTAGATTTCTATTCAGTGCTCTTAAATTCAGGCTATTTGCCAAATTCTATGTTTGTATAGATTTCTGTATTTGCACTTTCTGTGCTTTGCAGGGTATTCCCCCACCCACCGACTTACTTCAACTGTTTTCCAAGGCCTTGTTGTCCTATTTCCATCTCCTAACCCTCAGTACACAGACCTTGTTTG